AATGTGACGATAGAAACCAAAGTTTTATGGGCAAGCTTTACGGGTATCCGAACTATCATTTTATCATTGCGCCGAACTGCGCCGAGTAGGGCTTGCTTGACGAAATGTGTCTCTGACCGTGACGTGAAGAAGATGTCCGGGTGGTGGAGTCGGCCACTAAGTACAGGTACAGAACGCGCCACCACTTAAGAACTTAGCAGTTAAGAACTTGAGCCTCAAACAATCCAAAATCTAAGAACTTGGCCATAAGAACATATGCTCAGTTCCGACGTTGTATTATGAACAAGAACCCGCCCTGTGTACCAATGCGCATACAGATAAGAACGAAGCCCCAAAACGCGGCGGCTGCAAGATAAGAACTCAGGGTGACCCAAACAGCAGTTAGTTTCTGATTCGAGGCGGGGGGAGGGGAGAGAGAGGACCTCGTGATGAATTCTTGTACGCGCGGAGGGGCAGAGCGTACTCTCTCTCATGTTTCGCAGTTTCGCATGCCTTAGCGGTAGGACAAATGACCAACGTTTTCGAGAGGACACATCCATGTTCCAACAGGATCACTGATGCCAATCGTTCCTTCCCACTTCGAAGTACTTTGTCAAACGTGGCCAAAACATGTTCTCCCTAGCCGATCTACCCTATATCGATATCACTTCCGGCCTTTTCAACCCACTTCCTATGCCCCAGTACAGCTACCACCGAATTCTCCTGCCTATTCCATGCCTCAAACACCTCCCTGTACCTTTTCTTCTACATGTCCAACTCAGTCATGTACATTTCTCTGTCCTTGTCGCCCAACACGGACGTTTCGCAACGACATGAACCCGGTCTTCGCTCTCGGAGTCGCATTCGCATTGAACTCGTCTTCATCGTCTACCTTCCTGAATCTTCGTCAATGTTCTCGAAGGCCGTTTTCCCCACTCCAAAATTTGACCTTCGACTTTCTCCCTGCATACATTGGTCCATGTAGTAGGTACCTATTCCTTCTTTCAACATCCGTACACATAGAGACCCTCGTTATCCTTGGATCCTTTTGTTCAATGGTGTTCTCTCTCGGCGAAAGAAGCAGATTTCTTGTTCTCGAACCCCTCTAGATCTACCGTTCGTTTCCAATTTATCAACCTAGTCGATTTTGAACTCTTCCTACGCCGTCTATAACCTTATCCACTCCCTCCGGGTTGGTACCTCCATTTTTCTTGTTTGTCCACTTCACCTCCCAGGCTTCTCTCGGCAATGTCTCCTCTTCCACATCGTACAACATACGGCCTACCTGCCATTTTAATCTACTTACGCCTCTTCCCGATCGTAGGAGTTGGATCCGAAGGGGGGTGTACTCTCTCTCATGTTTTGGCAGCCTTACTTAGCGGTTAGACCGTTGACCACGCGTCCTCGACAGGACGGAGCATTGTTCCTTCCTACGTTGCCGAAAAGGTCGCTCAAACATGTTTTCCCATCGGTATCACTTTCCGCCTTATTTTCAACCCATTTCCTATGCCCCAGTACAGCTACCGTCTTCTCCTGGCTATTTACATTCGTCAATTGTCTTTCTTTCTGTACTTTTTCCTTCTACTTTTTTTCCCAGCTAGCTCAGTCATGTACATTTTCCTCTCCTTCTTATACCACGGACATTCCGCAAGTACATGAAGATGGTCTTCGCCCTCGGAGCCGCAATCACACCTGGGTTTGTCGTCTTCATCGTCTACCTTCCTCAATCTTCGTCTACGTTCTCAAAGGCCAACATCCCCAGTCCTAGGTTTGAACTTCAGCTTTGTCTCTGCATCGATTGGCCCTCCTGTAGTAGGTTATCTTTAAATATATTCCCTCTTTGATATTCCGTACACATCGAGACCCTCCGTGTCGTTGGTTTCTTTGGTTTGATCCTGCCCTTCTCTCTCTCCAAAGCAACAACAGATATCTTCTCCTTGAACCCCTCTAGACCTCCCCTCTCCAGTGTATCACCTTTTTCAAGTTGGACCCCCATCCATGCGTCATCTATAACATTAACTCACTCCGTAGGTTGGTACATCAATTCTTCTTGTTTGTCCATTTCGCCTCCTAAGCCTTTCTCGGCAACCGCTCCTCTCCCATACCGTACATGCGGCACTGCCACCTAGGGGCGATTTTACGGCTACATTGTACTCTTACAGCAGTAGTGTCTCGTGATGAAATCCACGCAGAAAGACCTGTCTGTGTCCTCTGCATGCGGCAATCCGTATAGAAATAAGAACAAGAACCTCGTTTACCATAGGTGGATACCTGCTCCAAATAAGAACTTGAAAAATAAGAACATGTGCCCGGTTGGAGGTAACCAATAAGCGTCGAGCCTCAAGCTAAATAAGCGGTTCTTAAGTGGTGGCGCGTTCTGTATAGTAGCTTTTGCCATGGAGTGGCACCAGCGATCGATAAATAGATAGAGAATAGCCCGCAGAGAAGATGTGCGCGATGGCTTCCAATGAGGGTGGTATTGGTTGTGAACACGAAATTCGCAATAGCAACATACCACGCGCTACAACCACTCATTGTCGGGAGAGATAAGGACAGCAGGCACAACATGAAGCAGAGCTGGATCATGCGGAGGACGAGAGAGTCCGCAAGGTCTGCTGGCGAGAGATCACCATTTTTTTGCGGTATACAGGACCCGCATCATCGCTCCACATGACTCAATCGAAGGGCGAAGAGCGGTCCGGGGTGCGGCGCAAGGTTGGGATGCACCTACTGGTGGCCAGAGGGACAGGTTGGGCACAAACTACAACCTGGGCCGGGGGGGGGGGGTTGGGAGGCCGAGTTTGACCTTGAGCCCAAATTTTCTTTGGGCTTCAAGCCCGCCGTTTCGCCGCCTAGACTATCCATCCGATTGCGGAAAATAACTTCACTTTGGGCTGCCTCCTTGCCACCTCCCCTCCCTCCAGGCTGTATAATCATTGCCCCAACTTACCCACAACCTGCCCCTTGGTCACCAGTGACCGCGGAAGAGAGACGTGTGTGCGGTGTCTGCTGTGTACACCGTCCGGGAGATTACCGCGAGATTTGGCGAACCATGGTTGGCCGGCTTGTAGTCTTCAATTTCGAAGTATTTATTTGCATACATTGAATACTGCTGTACCAGAGGTACTAGTTATTTATAGCAGTATGCATACAAGTCTACGTAGTACATATATATATGTACCCTCAAGGGGCGCGATCGTGGCCCGCAATTCGCAACACGCCCAACGCAGGGCGCAAAAACGACTCACGTCCTGTCGAGCGAGATGGATATGGATGCTGCTGCTGCGCGACACACTGCTTGAAATCATGTGACAGACACCCCCAAGTGTCCCAACAGAGAGACCGCCAGACAGAGACCAAACTGCTGGTGCATCAGAGTAGTGTGTGCAAGGTACGCGTACCACCACACTCACCGGCTTTCTCCAGCCACTTTTGCAGGCAAGTCACCGGCTTGCCGCGTAGGGTTAGTAAGAGCCCCCAGCTCTCCACCAGTCCATCACTCGTACTACCGAACCGAGTCAATCTCCACGGGACCTGTGGGTGTGCCAAGAAGGAAGCCCGGTGATTCAGCGATTCAGCACCCACAAGCCGTCGAACAACAGCCCGGAAGAGGATGTGGTCGCCAGCGGCATTCAACGCCAAGAAAATTCTCCGGAGCGTTCATTTGGGAGTGGCAGCGATGCGCGCGTTGTCATTTCGTAGACACACACCAAGCGGAGGTTTTTACCCTCGATAGGTTTGGACGCACCACCAGCTGTGAAACCACAACAACACCCAAACGCAAAAAAACTGCACGCCATGCCATGTTCTACACGTCAAACGTATATAGTTTTGTGGCATCGAGGCCCAGCACGCCACCGGAACAACAACCGAACTCGGCATTTTTCTCTCTTTCATGTTCTGTTTTGTTGTTCTTCCGTCCTTATTATTAGCATCATGGAGGTTTCACGGTTCAGGGAGGGCCTGTTTTTAACGTCAAAAAGTTGCACCTAAATTGAGGACCCTCATAAGCCCCACAACACACGCACGCGGAGATGGCAATGCTTGGTAGTGGTGGTGCTCCCGAAGGCGCTGAATGGAAATAAGCATACAGTATATGGACAATGGCACGGAGCCTTGGGTGACCCTGCCAGAAGTAGTGATGCAACAGGCAAGACAATAATAATAATAATGTGCTGACTTGATCCACCAATCAATGCAGAGCAGTAGGAGACCGCCTCGAAGTAAGTAAGTAGAGAGAGAGAGAAAAGGTGCCCGCAGTTTTCTGATTGGCCAATTTTTTTGACAGGAAATTTCCTTTGGTCGAAAATTCCATGGTCGACCGATGACGTCAGCCACGGTTGTGACGTCACTTCTCGTGAAATCTCGAAAAATTCAAATTCGCCGTGGGTGACTGATGATTGATGAATTCCATGTCACATCAGCCTGCTGACTTCGATTAATGATTACTATTATAGCAGCAGTTATGAAGGAGGAGTGACAAAATACCGATCACAGGATCTCCTTACTCACGTCACATATAGATAGCTATTCGGCGGGCCAAGCAGGAGAAGGCGAAAACTGAAAGTTGGATTTGGCTACATATCTCCCTACGTCCAAACAGTACCCACTTTCGCTCACACTTCTACAAATCCGGAGTAACAAACACCGTGGTTGACGATTCGCCCCAATCCGCAGATAAATTTTGTGTCTTACAATTAGATATACAAAACACAGAAATGTTGCACCACCTCAAAAAAGGACTTGCAGCACCGACGACTAGGTCATCATCCCAACAACAGCCAGGATACAGATGGTGCTACGTGGAGCAGGTGGACCAGGCCGCCCCCCTCGCAAACAGGAGTAATGGGTGGCGCTACAAAGGGCCACGAGGGGTAATGTATCGTCGCCAGGCGGTCTTCGGAACAGGATACAGGGTTCGTATCTTGGCCTCGTCCCATGGACCGGGATATAGATGGTTCAACTCGCACCCCGTTGGAGGCGATCCTTCGCTGGTCAACTTTCAATCCTGGGCAAGGACGATGTGGCGGCGCGGTTTGGTCCACCCGAGAGACGCCGAGGCGTGGAAAACCGCCTTCATCGACATTGAGGGTGGTGGCCAAGGACAGCTGGTTGTTTCGGCGGCAGATGATACCTGGCGAGTGATCCTCTGCTGGGCATCAGCTGGCAGGAGGATCGAAGTCGATCCCCGAGGCATCCCGTTCTCTCTCGTGGACCTTCAGGTCCGATCTGGCATTGACTCACAGAGTCCGCGTTTCAGACAACTGAACATAGCGTCCTTCGGGCACAGGCTTGTGCAGTATACTCCCATGACCACCTTCGGCAAAATATGGCAAGAACAACTCCCCGGAGCCTGCCTCGCTGTCCTCATCGCCGACGCGTGGCGCGACAGTCAAGTCGACCTGCTGACGAGGGAGCGGAGGAGATTTGGATTCCGCGATGTAGACCTCACCGGTGCGTTTGTGATCTCATCTGGTGGTGGTCGACCAAAAAAGGGTTCGCCTGTACAAAACAAGAACGCTCTTGACGGCGGGAACTACTTCCGCAACCTGTATTCGATCCTGCTGGAGCGAGACATCGGGGAAGAAGAGTTCGACACATGGGTTTCGGGGGATACTAAACCACCTCCACTGACGTTACGCCATCTCCACAAATGGCTCAATACGACCAAGGCTAACGTCGTTGTGTGGTCACACAGGGGCACTGGCGCCGATGTTGCTGGGCCATGTGACGAGAAAACGAATCTCCGACCGCCCACATTGCACGTTGGGGTTCGTGAAGGACACGTTTACCGGCTGGTGCTCGTGGGGCCTTGGAGGGAGCGGTTTGGATCACCTATAGACGTGACCATCGAAAACGGCATTCGAACCCACCGTAGATTCCGTCGAATTGCCGAGACGACCGAAGAGGAAGAGGAACCGGATAGGACTGGTTGTGGAACCAAGACATTCTCGTGTGTCGCTGACATTGTGAGTGACATCCTGGCCAACAATCAAACAGAGGAGGAAGACCACCACCAAGAGATGGCGCAGAAAAAGCGGAAGCGTGAAAAAGCATCAGAGCCTAAGACGTGGTATGCACCGCCGGGAACGGCTCTTGACAAACTGATGCTCCACCTGCACCTCGTTGGAGTCTCTTGCAGCGGTAGGCTTTCCAACTACAGCCACTGGGACTCCCTGTCGTTACCGGCACACGGTATAACCATCCGAACCTGGTGCAGTGCGAGCATGGGCGGGCTCGACCCTGATGAGTTCGAGCCCGACCAGGCGACAAGATTGATCGAGCTGCATAATGCGCTGGGTCTAAAGTTCTACCGTGGTGTTTTGGATTTTCGAGTGTCGAGCCAGTACAGCCAGTCTCTTCTCGCCCTCCTTGAGGTATGCTGGCGAGGGCCTATCGTCGGGGCGGAGGATGTGTCCGGGAGTTCATACGGGAGGGAAGACTGGCAGTGTGACATCAACGGGGCACACACGGCGGCTCTGATGAACATGGAGACGGTGCCCGTTTTCGGCCACATGGACGAAGTGGAGGAGTTCGATGGACACGATATTGAGGATTGGACCCTGTACATTATAGAATTGGACGCGCTCGACGAGCCAGACGTTTTCCTTAACGCGGATGTGACGCCAGTCTTCGGTCGAAACTATAAGCGATACCTCGACCTCATCGACACCGCGCCTCGTCATAGAGTCACCCACTTCGTGCGGCCCTCGAGGACCGTCGGCAGGTGCCACATTCCCACCCTGGTGAGAGACCTGCTCGAGCATGAGCTGGGTGATCCACTCCTCGAGGATGCCGACTGTGCACGCAAGTTCAAGAAAGGGATATTCGTGCGAGCCAGCGGCATGTTGCAGCAGAGATACGCAAACAGGATAGATGCCGTCATGGTCACGAGCTGTGACGAGGCTTCGGCTGTGGGTGGAAAAGTCGTCCCTGTCCTGTGCGAGGTCGATCGCGCGAAGGCCGAGCTTCGGACGGGACAAGGGGAGCTTGGAATCGAGGCACTTCGCACCGGTGATGCATACCTTTGTTTCGACGCAGAACGGACTTGGTATAGAGATGGCTTCTGGGCGTTAGGTGCGCTCATTCTCGACGAAACTCGATTGCGAGTGTTGGAGGCGAGGAACGCTCTCGAATCGTGCGGCGCGTCCGACTTTAGTTACCAGTGTGACGCAGTCTTCTTCAGGGGACCTTGCTCGGTTCGGGAGGAGATGAGACTCTGCTTCGGCCATTTGTTTAGCGGCGACAAAAAAACTCCCGGCACTCTCAAGTTCGAACCAGCCTTAAAGAACCCGCTGTGTGGCGAGAGGAGGGTGTTCGAAGGCATCGAGGTCAAGCTATCACTTGATACGTTACCACCAGCCATGAGGCAAATTCCTTGCCCACCGAAGCCCCATCTGCAGGTCATTCCTCTGTGGGGTGGCGTCGGCGCCGGCTTCAGTTCGATGGGAGACGCGCACAACGCCTGGTGTTCTCTCGAGAAAAGCACCAAGCGCAATCTGTGGCCGGAAATATGCGAGGCCGAGTCACCTTCGAAACTAGAAAGTTTACTCCGCGGCTTGTTGTCTCAGCAAGCTTCAAGAGTGGTGTGTGCGGTGACCGGGGAACACGGAGGGGCGGGGAAGAGTTATTGTGCCTTCCGCGCTGCGAAGAAAATCTTTAAGACGGGGCTGGTCGTGACCCCCACCAATAGTCTGAGAACGTCCTTTACAGACATGCCATCCGGATGGAGTGTAAAGACCGCCGATCACCAGCTCGGTTTCTATCTAGGTAATGATTCAGAAATGAGGAAGACGGCGGGGTCGATACGAACGCTCAAGGTCGACGTAATCATCATTGAAGAAGCTGCTTATATGCCTCTGCGGACCTTAAGCATGATCCTGGCCGCTGCTCGTTGTAGCGGTACCCACGTGATCGGGACGTACGACACGCACCAACTCCAGCCCGTTTGTGAGAGCAGTGGCATGTCGATTAGCAGCGACAACGTCGACAGGAAAGTCATCCTCGAAAAAGCCTTCCCCACATGTTTTCACGTCTTCGCGCGCAAGCGGGATAAAACTACCGAAGAACAAGTGGAGATGGACGACGGTCTCTTGTACATTCTGGCCGCAGGAAACAACAGTCAAGAGGCGCAGACTCGAGCCATCGAGAGGTTTGGTCGTGAATGTCCAACGGGCAACGATCCTAGCCCTTCAGAATTTCACCTCGCTTACACTAGAGACTGCGCTCGATTCCACGCCTTTCGAGGTTTGCCGGGGTGCAACGCACCTGGTGGCTGGGATGCGCTGGGGCGTACAACGGTTATCGGTGCACAATACCGGGACCTCGGGAACCTGGGCAAGATTCACAAGAATCACACCTACAACATCGTTCGATCCTCAGCAGATGAGATCGTTGTCGCGAGCGCATTTGACTGTGCCGTCAGTCTGGAGGAGACGTCACTTTGTAGAGCGGTGGCAGAAAACTTGTTCGACCCCCCGGGATCATGCACGGTACACGCCGTCCAAGGCCGTACGGTGGAAGGGAGGCTGATCATACACCAGGCTCGACACCGTCACGCTGACGTGCACTGGCTTTACACGGCGGTCAGTCGAGCGACCGGACCGTCGAACGTTTGGGTCATCGACGATGCTCACCGCCGCGATAGCAACATGTCCGACCGAGAGAGGGCTTCGTGGGTTTCTAGGAAGGTTTCCAGTTATATCTACGCCGACATTGCGTCCGGGCGTCTTGGATCTGATGAGGGGGGACAGCATAGAGAAGCTCTCGCCCAAGAACTACACCGCGCCTATCGGGGGACGTGCAACTTGTGTCACCATGAACTTGTCTGGGCCGTTTACAGCGAACGCCAGCCGACTCTAGACCGTCTTGACTGCGCTTTGCCTCACACGATCGGTAATGTGGACGTGAAGTGCTTGAAGTGCAACCGAGCCAGAGGAAGTCTGGGGAGGGGGAAGTCAAAGAAGAGGAAGACAAGTTGATTGTGCCGTGATCGACACGTAGCTTTAATGCCCAGAACCCCAAGAAATAATATATGTGGTGTGTGTAACCAACTATCAAATCATGAACAATCTTATTTCACGGTGTGCGAGTCGGCTGGAGGAAAACAAAGACCCAGTACAAGTTCTTGAGGTCTTGAGAAGCCTGCATCCAGGCTCTCTCAGCAAAAACGTCAGGCGAGTCAGGCGAGAATGGATGCAAGTATACGGTCCCAGCCACAACGACGGCGCTATCAGGAAGGACCTCAAACGCATACTCAAAGTCATACAGAGGAAGGCGTCGTCGCTGGCCAAGAAAACCTCAAGTGATTCAAGGAAGAAGTACAGCTCGAAACAACTAAAAACAGCCGAGCGACGCATCGTTTCGTTTTCTAAGTTGGATTTGTTCGGCAAATGGGCAACGCGAAACTCCATTCATTCCCGGAAAGAGTCCTTCACTGGGCTTGTTGATATCGACGCGCTCCTACGGAAGGTAAATATACTTCCACCTTACGTTTCCAAGCTGGAACTCACACCGGAAGAAAAGAGCCTTCCAAGGAAAAGACGCAGAGAGGCTTTGGAAGCGAAGTGCGACAAGGGTATCAAAGTAGTGAACGCAAGCAAGCTCATCGATCTCATGGGAACAATCATCAGATACCCCAGAGCACATTACTTCGAATTAGCGTGCGCTTTGTCGTTTGCTTCGGGGTTGGGGCTGCCTGAGCTTGTTGGTAGTGCTGTTCAATTTTCGCCCAGTTGTCATGGCACCCACGAAGTAGATATCAAGCTAGGTGGTGTTGAGGGATGCCCGAAAGGAACCACCTGCCGGGTACCATTGTTATGCGAATACGAAAACTTCGTAGAGGGAGTAAACAAATTACGTGGCATGAAGGAAACGTTCAATCTCACCCCTGCCGAGGTCAATCATCGATACAGTAAATCAGCAAATTTGTATGCCAGAAAGCTGCTTCCGGATGTCTGCCAGGGCGGTCATGTATTCAGTGATTTGAGGACCCTGCATGGTGCAGTTAGTAATGAAGTGTTCACGGGGCACGAGTTGGAATTGAGTGATTGGGTCAAAGTTGCACGTGGTGGTCGGAGTTCTCCTGCCCTAAGCCGGAAGTGCTCGGTTGTGAGAGTGAAAGGGATCAAGGAAGATGATCACAGGCATTGGACATTTTGAACCCTTGCTCCAGACGTTTTATCGTCATCCGGCCCTTGGCCAACCGCTCAAACACAATATTCATTTTTGCCCTTGATAGCGTAAACACCCACGTTTCGTTTTCCCAGTTGGGGGAAGCACTCCTTTGTCTACTCCATGCTGGAGCCTGCGTAGGCAACACGGTCAACACAGTGAACTCTAAACCCGAAGGCTCCTAATTGATCACCTTTGGTGACCCAGATAGAGGAAAAAAATGCGCACGATCGCACAATATCCGCACACAGTACAATGATACAATCAAGTCACAAGAGAACTGTGTTCCCGACTAAAATCCCAGGCACTCGTTCATCTTGACCATCACGTATGAACGAACACACAACGCTTTTTGTACTCCAAAGCATTTCGCATACAATGAATGGTCGAAATCCCACAGTAAAGTCACGAAAAACCGCCAACTAATCACCTTCAAAACCACCTCCGAGTGAGGATATACACGCTGAATCTGCCGACCAAAAAGATATATATGTATCGGATTCAGACATGATAAAGGGAGACGAAAAAACTTCAGTTGGCACGACTCAAGCTAATCTATGACAGACCAAACTGAACGATCTTTCGTCTACTCTGGAAGCCTGTGGGGGGTCTCTTTCCATTCCCCATCACTTCAACTCCACCGAAGAGCCATTCTTCGTACAAGTCAGAGCTCGTTTTGACTTCCATGTATGAACCCACAACACCAGCAGCGGTAGACACCAACTGTTCTTCTATCTAATAATACAAATAATACCAAATCATCTCCAATAAAGTTGCCGAAATCAAAGTTTCGAACAAAACAATCACAATCGCTCCGTCGACCCGGCTCATTTGAACATACATTTGATGACTGGGTCGAAATGTAACACACCAGAGCACCCTCACAGGGCCCGTTGACACAACAACATCGATTCGCATGCAGGAACCCCAACAGCCCACGGGTAGCCATGTACCATCTAAAGTACGGTGAGTGGTCGTAAAAATGTCCCTCATGAAGTAAAAGTAAATGTCGACCGGCAATTACCCAGAAATCAAACACAAAAACTCTCTCTCTCAAATCTCTAGGGCGAGCATGTACATAATGCTACCGATCTCTCGAATCAATTCCCAAATCCGCAAGTAAATGCAGTGTGGGCAACGCAGCGCCTTCCATTCCTAGAGCACTCCCTAACCGGTAGTCTATTCCACTCCCATCACATCATCACTGGCCGGCCCGAAATCTCGCAACTGGATGTCCAAGTGTGTGTTCAAAAACTCTACTATTCATACATAATTTTCTATTTCCACACAAATTTCACACAATTTTCACCAATGTTTCACGCCACCACCACCACCGATACAAGGTGTATGAAACAAAATGTTCAGACACATCCGAATGACTGAGACTAAAAACCCGGGAGAAACACTTCTGCTTTACGTTGATCGGGGGTGTGTGTTGCACGAACACACACGCACACACCACCGCAAGGATATATGCACACAGAGAAGGAGGATTCTCAAAACCATAACAACAGCTTTTGGGCTATCTATCCCGGTAGACCCCGTGCACACTGCATCTACCGACCAAACATCTACGCAATGGAATAAATGATGATGGGACACGAAAGAACTCTGTTTCTCTGTCTCTATCTACGCCACCTATGAAACAAAAATGACCAATTGGTTGGGTGATTCTACAGCAACACGACACTGGCAGCAACCAATATATACTGCACGTCACACGAGTATGATCGTGCCTGCTCGGATAGAAGCCATCGCTAATGCCTGGATGCAAGCCGTCGCCAAGTGACACAACGCTTCGAATTCAATTTGCACGACGCAATCCGATCCCTAGCTGACCGAACTGGATGATCTCTACTCGTCTACTCTGGAAGTCTGCGGGCGGTTTCTTGCTAGCCCCCGTCTCTCTAACACCACGACAGGGTGCACACAGCCCGTCGTTTTCAACTCTCGACCAGGCTACCCGCAGCTCCCTCCTCGACCGGATCATGATGGATCTGACTGCACAGGTCGACCAGGCTCATCGACGCTAACCCTGACCCCTCACGCCACAAGAGCCCTCTTGGCAGTAAGTCTGGGCGTCGTTGAAATCGACGTCCGCCTCGGTCTCGGTGCTGTACTCCAGTTACCGCCTCTCTTCTTCCAACCGTGCCGCATCCTCCGTCAGCCACCCCGCGTATGCATCCTGGTTTTCCCTCACTACCTTAGAGGCCCTGCTGTTCCCGACGAACGGCAACATCTTCATCTCCTCGTTGCTGTACCCTTCCTTCCCCTTCGCGTCTGAACACGGTACCATCTCCGCCGCCGAATGACCACCCTTGGGTTGACACCTGGGCCCCACGTACTTCCACTTATTCTGGAGGATGTCGAAGAACCACCGGTCCCCGAGCTTCAGGAAGTTGCCGCAACCCTCCTCCGGGCACTTGAAACTCTCGAAGGGCGGGATATCCGTAGACTCGGGGCGAGACCGGAGAATGTCCCTCGCGAGCGTGATATCTCTGCGGACACCGGCACCGCCCCGTTCGTGGTCGCTCCGTCCCTTCCTGGAGCCTCGAGCCGCCCCTGTGCGGGCGCAACACCAACGCAACGTTCGACGAGACATCCAGGAGCGAACACATGTCGGGATGCGAGCCTAATCGTCAGCGGCTACTTTTCGACCATTGGGCCGTCCACCACAAAGGGGGGTTGTTCTACTTGTAGAGACGCTTCAAAAGCGCGGACTTTGTTGCAACAACAGGCGGGGGAGTTATTTCACTCTACAATTTGTTCGGTTTTTTCCTTTGCTTCTTGTCGGAGTTCTCGCCTGCAACGAACACGACGGGCGGGGGGAATAGGCTCAATCCAACCATGCACCAGTTGCTCGCTCTTAAGGCATCGCGTTCTGTTCGATCGACTGTCAAATTTTCATTCCAAAAGTCAAATAGCACGCTTTGGCGGCGTTATACCCCGCGAGAAACTTCCTTCACAGGGTCAAATGGCACGCCACGCTATCTCTGCATTGCGCCGAGCATGGGCGGGGATGAGGTGGGTACATGGGGTGCGGGACACACCAGTAAAGCTGTAAATGTTAGTATCAAGTACACGCGACACAGGAAGAGTAGATCGTGGGGAAAATAAACGCTAGCCTTTGTCAACTCACGCAACAGCAACTACAACATCATTACATGCTTTCGGACGCACTCCTTCGTAGCAGCTGAGTGGGCGCGTTCGACGCAATAACAATAACAGCAGCAGCAGCAGCAGCAACAACAACAACAACAACGATCAAGGAATGACGTACCTCCGGTCTTGCCTATGCGTCCACCACCAAGTCGAGACAACGATGGGTGATGTCGGGAAAACGGAAGAACGAGTGACAGGCGCGAGGGAGGGGATCGAGAGAATTCATTGGTAATAGCGAATGATGAGAGAAAAAAGAAGCAATACCCAAGAACAACATGGTCCATCGCATGCCTTGCTATCGGCATACAAGGGAGCGGGGATGCCTTGGTTGCGTCGGGTGAACTATCATATCATGGACGGCGGGGGCGGGTCGGGATGGAACGGGTGCAGAGAATGAAACAACAACAGAAACAGAAACGCCTGCAACGAATACGACGGGCGGGGGGGAAAAGGCTCAATCCAACCTTGCACCAAGTTGCTCGCTCTTAAGCCATCGCGTTCCGCTCGATCGACTGTCAAATTTTCATTCTAAAAGTCAAACAGCACGCTTTGGCGGCGTTATACCCCGCGAGAAACTTCCTTCACAGTGTCAATTGCACGCAACGTTATTCTTATATTCAATGGAGCAGGGAGCGGGGATGTCATGCTTGCGTTGGGTGTCTCTCACACAAGGCAAAAATCATTCGACGAGGGCCAATGCACGCAACAGTATCACCATATTCGAAGGAGCAGGGACCAGGGACGGCGCTGAGAGCGAATGGCGTGCGCACAACTTTCATTGCCGAGCGGTAACCACCACGCAAACAAACCAACTTTCAGTAAAACCATGCTATCCGACGAAAAAAGAGGCCTTTATGCCGAGGGTACAAGACGTGAGGGGCGCACCAAAAAGGCGTGGGTATACATGGGACGAAAGGGCTGTACAATTTCATTCAAAGGGTCAAATCGCACGCCTTGCAAGAGAAGACGGGGGTGGGTCGGCATGGAACGGCCACAGAGGACGGAAATAACAACAATCACAACAACGACAACAACAACAACACACAGTGCGAACGAGTTCAACGAAGCCACACGGTGCCAAAATTTACCTCCTCGTTCCCGCTGTTCGTCAGTAAAGGTCCCCCCGACCTTCTGGTTGAGACCTGCGGACTCCTTGCTCCACACCAGCCCCCCGAGGAAGACGAGGGCAAGAATCGCCTCGTGTAGCTCCCTCGACGATCTGTGGGGGTCACCCGTCCTCCACACATAAGTCTCGCTGGTCACCGTGTCGATGGCTTCCGCTCCGGCCAGCACCAGCCCCGCCGGGATGTTCCATGCCGGACCGTCGTTCGCCACACGGCCGTTCACCTGGCGAGGCAGTCTCGCGCGGACGGCTGTTGGCGGCTGCTGGAGCCCCCTGGCATACTTGCGGGCGGAGGAAGGCAGCCCCTCGCCAGAGATGAGCAGGCGCAACGCACCGTTGTCCCACTCGTGCCGGTTGACTTTGGCCCGGACCGACCCGCAAAGGGCAGACCCGACGCTCATCTCGGACTCCCACGCCTTGACCATGGCGAGCGTTGTATCCTTGCACCAAAACTCGTAGGCGTGCACGTAATTCACCTGCCCCCCGTAGTCCTTTTTCTGATCGAAGACCTCGATCCCGCCCTCCTTCATCTCGTTGTCGGCGAGGGGGCGTTTGCGCAACTGGTCGAGGGCAAGCGACCGCCGGAGACCGTACTCCCCACACGCTTTCCGAAGGACGTCACATATTGACGCATCTTCCCCCATGCCCTTGGTTTTGGCGACTTCCCGCGCGATCTCCAACATCTTGGCGCGGTTGATGGCGACCGTGGGGTCATCCATGGCCGCCGTCATCCTCTCGAACACCACGGTCTGATGGGGTTCCAAAGGAGCTTGCGCGACCTACAAATACGCAAGCGGGGAGAGAGGGGGGCGAGCAGGCAGGAGTAGTGGTTGGCATGTAACCCTTACAAAGAAACGACCGCGACCAAGCGTGGGAGGGGGGCACAACGCGAGAGATAATAGCAAATCCGCAAAGATTGTCGTGTCCTACGGACATAGCGTTAGAAGAGGGCACCGGACTCCGTGCGCCAGTTTTGGTTTCTCTAGACGGGGGTACCTCGTTAGACATGATGCAAGACTACCAAGCAGGCCGCCGGCTAGCCGTAATGAGGTCAAACGCTATCAAGTCGACGACATACATCCCCAATCTTTTCCCGACTACGCTAATCAACATTGACACCTGAGTTCTCTATGGCGCAGACAAAAAATGAATCACCACCATCCCGGTCGATCGGGCGTAAAGATAGGTCTGGGTTGTTGGGTGCTTCCATGGTTGCATGGACAAAGTTACGCGGGTACGGCAGAAACGACATACATTACTCGAAAGGACACGCCATTTTTGCTTGGACAGCACCAAATGGAATGCTGGAAGAGAGTGATGGGGAGGGGGGGGGGGGGGGGCAAGGTGACCGCACTCGAAACCATTTCGCACACAACTGAAATCAATGTGAGACGCTCTAGAAGATTAATCAGGAAAGCTTCTCTAATTATTAATCGGAATAATGCTGAACTCCTTCCTCTTGGTTTCTTACATCGAAGCCCGGACTAGGGGGTGTTGTGCGGGCCCACTTGCCCGGTTGATCGTTGGCCACTCGGGCTTTGCCCTTCCCTCGCGACCTCTTGGGCGTCGGCACATCGCCATCCCCTTTGTCGCCGGCCTGCGAGTTCAGCATGAGAATATAGGGCTGGGTGGTGTTTCGTTCTGGACCATGCTCGCGTGCATAAGGTCAAGATAATCGCCAACACCGTACTACAGCAGTACTTTAAAATACGTACCATTTGCATTTTGATAGCACCAAATGGAAGGCGAAGAGAGGGTGAGCAGAGTGATGGTATGGGGGCGGGGTGTGTGCGAAACAGGTTGACACAAAAGTGGGAAACCCACGAGAGGCTTGTTTGGTGTTTGGGCGGGAAAATATGAAATCCTCGCGAATTTCAGGTATCGTGGTAATTACAGAAGAAAAAAAGGAATGTAGGTGAACATTGACAGCAGCATATCTGCTGCTGTCTGCTGTACGGCGAGGACGTGGCCACTAACCAAGTACTCGGCCGGCGTGAAATAGACGCCAATCAACTAACGCCATCCAACGCCAACTCGGAATGGAACAAGCCCGACCCCATCGAAGCCCCTGATCTTGCCACGTACCCCGAGAGTGTCCATGGAATACACTGACGACGGCGGAGTCGATAATTCACCCCGCCCTCCTTCAGCGGCAGGTTCCAGTGACGTGGCCCTGCCGTTCCACGGGTTCCATCCACCCGTCCCGTTGCCGGCACTTGGCGATGGTTGCTCGCCCCCGGCACGCAAATGTCCACCGACGTCAGGTAGCCCCCCCCAAACGGGTCTGTGAGGGGCAGGGGCTGGGGCTGGGGCAGGAGCCGGGTCTGGGGCAGGGTTAGCCTGGATGCACGCGAGGATGTAGTATCAATAAAGTGCTCTGAGGTTGTTACTACCATCGTAGATATTGGTCTCGGTATGGATGTGACAGGGGCCAAAAGTTGCTGCTTGCTACTCTCGCGTGCGAGTACTGCTGTACACGCTAGCAGTCAGTGGATGTGTGTGTGGTGGGGGG